AATTGTAGTCAGTTTTAAAAATTTTTTCGCAATTATTTTCGGACGCGTTCGAAAACAAGTTAAAACGTTAATTACGCAAGTGATATTTGAGCTTTTTATATCTCACAGTTCATCGCGCGCTTTTATTCTAACTTCTTGAAACTTACATATTTTATTATTTCCTGCCTAGGCATAAACCTAAACTAAAAATTATGCTGGTCACTTGAAGCAAACAAAATATTGTGTATTTTTAAAAACGTCTTTCAGACAGCGGATTAAATATTCTTGTTAGTATGCTGGCAGTAAATTATTTTTTTTCAAAAGTGCATGCAACGGTATCAGGTATCCAATCTATTGCAGCTACTGAGTATTATGACACATCTACTAGAATAAATAATAAAATCTTTGGGCAGTGTGTTTTTCACTTGACAAGCGCGTCATGAATATAGTCAATTTTCGCTAATTCGACTAATTATAAGCTATAATTTGTTAATGCATTTACTTAAATTTTTCGCGTTAAAAACGTACAAAATTGTTCACTATCTTTCAAATATGGCTGTTTTTTGGATAGAGACTAAGTTATAAATATGCCAGCATTTATGCTAGCTTTATAACATAGAGCAAAAGTCCTGACGCATGTGCCGACTGAAATTGACATGCACGCGTTGCTAATTTTATCCACCGGTATTATTACGCCGGCCGCAGCCAGTGTCATAATTTGCCCTCGCTGGAATGCGAGGAATTTTTTCGGTTTTTTTTTGTTTTTTTTTTGTTGTCGCAAGTGTGACTTTCCATTGCGGCATCGTGGGCTCAGGATTGCGCAATTCAGCCCCTGAGCTATTATATTACTGTAATATTATAGCTCAGTGAATTTAGCTATCACATTACACATGCTCACTATAATTTATAAACCAATTCCTATATTTTGAGAAGAAAGCGACACCGTACGATTCAGCGTATAAAGAAATTGTACTTACGGATGTCAAGTGTATTACTGAACGCCAGTATTCTAGCGATTTATGGCCTTTGAAAATCAAGCGAAATTGTATTGACAAATCGCTCGCAGTATCACCAGTATGTATTGTTATTTATAACAAATCATTCGCACTACGTTTGTCTTTGTATTTGTAATGTCTAATGGCGCAATAAGGATAAAAATACCACCGTTCGATTCAGCATAAGAAATTGTACTTACGGATGTCAAATGTATTACTATTTATATACTATTGAAATTTAATACAACGAAATATAGCATTCTACGTCGATAATTTCAATCATAGTTTAATAATTATTTTCAATCTATAGTAATTCACCGTTTCCAGGGGTTTTATAAAGCTACAATAAAGCTAATTTAATAAAGCTACAATAAAGCTAAATTTGTAGGAAATAACATTTTTTTAGTTATAAAATAGTATAAAAGAAAATCTAACATCAATCGCTTTCGTAGCCTGCGTAGCAGTCGCTTTATTTTATTGTAGGTTTTGAGGATTTTTGAATAAATGGCGAGTTTTTGTAGGTTTTGAGGATTTTTGAATAAATGGCGGGTTTTGGCGGGTTAGAAAAATGGGCGAAGAGAAAAAGGGTAACTCGCCATTTATTCAAAAATCCTCAAAACCTACAATAAAATAAAGCGACTGCTACGCAGGCTATCGCTTTCGATACAAACTTGACCTGCCTTGACCTTGTTTATATTACCGTCGTTGGCAACTAACGATGAACAGTCGCTCATAAAAACATTGCTTATTCGCATGAGAATCTTAAGTTTTCTTATTTTGACATAATAGCTATTTTTCAAACAATATATTGATCTTAAACTTATTGAATCAATATTTTAAGTTTCAGATCAGTTGTACCAAAAGTTATAAGCGGTCGCGCATCATTACCAGGGCACAGGGTCGGTCATACAGAAGCCCAATTTATTGATTTTTCTTATGGTTTTCCAATGATTTTGGCGTGACCGTAATTCATCATCAAAATGCTGGCTGGTGCGCTTTTGAGAGGCATTTAACCCCCTGATAATATTCAAAATGATAGACGTCCAGGGGGGGGGGTTGCCTCTTTGGTGCGCACTGGTTGGGACGTGGCAGCGTTTACTCTAATTACAGTCTTTCAAAACATGGTTTGGAAACACCGCTAAAGTCTTTGTTCTATCTTTTTGTTTTGCGTTTATGCAGTTTTGTGCACGGTGTACAGTCAATTATGAACACATTGTATTTCAGTATAATGAACGAATCATCCAACAGCGACGTTTCAGTTCAGTCATTCAACCATGTTAGTTAAATATTAATAAACCTGAAACAAAGGATGTGCATGGTGTAAGGTACGGCTCAACGTAAAATCCCAGCTCATTATAACCGCTTTGAAGTTTACTGAGTTTCCAGACCATGTTTTGAAAGACTATGCTCTAATCGACCTTCTGTGTATCTTTGTTCAGTGCCAGGGGGTAACTGCTTCTGTTTACTGTACTTGCCGACTGACAAATCATGACAAATAACACGTACACAGAAAACAATGGAGATGGCCATGATTTCTGTATAGTATTCTGAGTCGTGAGGTTTCATGGTTTTGATGGCATGCAACATGTACGCACTACGTACCTATTTTTTAGAATATTGCGATGGTATTTTACTGTTTTACCAACCGCGAAGGCCAGTGTGAACGCCTGAGCAGGCGTCTTGTTTGAATTAATTTGGGGTTCTGACATGAAGTACACTTCAAATAAACTTTGATTCTAAGTAGTGCTGGCTCATGTAGCCTGCGAACAGGCTCTCAAGCTGAATTGAGAGCCTGCATCGATGACTAATGAATTTGAATATCTGCCCCGTAACGTTCGTTTTTCCAAATATGGAATGTCTATCCTTATATGGTGTTGTTTACAACTTTCGTGCAAACTAAATTTAGACCGTGCAAACTAAATTAGACCGTACAGTTTATACTGTTTTTCGAAATATAAGATATTCAAGCAAAAGTTCAAATGTTTTAAATACTGTTTTCTCAAAACAGAACATTTCGTGCTTTGAGATAAGACGAGCAAGACCAATTTGATCAGTTAATGTGTTTTTTATGCATAGTGCTTCAGCAGTTGACATATATAGAGCTCAGCGGAAACATATAAATTATAGCATCTGACCAATGAGAATTATAGCATCTGACCAATGAGAATTTCGCGTCACGATTTGAGACGCAGATATTCAAATTCATTAGTCATCGATGCAGGCTCTCAATTCAGCTTGAGAGCCTGTTCGCAGGCTAATTAGCCACGGTTTTTACGGGGGGGGGGGGGGTTAATTAACGCGGTTAAAAAGTTTTATAAAGATTATTAATTTTGGTTCTCATTTATACTCAGTTTGTTGTTATTTTAAAAATTTTTCCGACCTATCGACCTCTTATTTTTAAAGTCAAATCCGTAAACCAATAAATAAAAAAAGTCTCGCCCAGAGAACACAAACGAAAGTTTTGATTTAGAATGGTACCAAGAAATTTAGCGATTAAGAAAAAACACGTAGACAATAGATAAAAGAGGAAAACGGAGCTAGTACAAGCGCGGAAAACGTCGATAATACCGTAGACCACACATGCCACGAGGAACCTGCCGTCGAACCCAGGAGAAAGATTACACGCAGCTCAGTTAAGGAACCTGCAAGTAAGACCTTACCTCAAAGAAACAAGCATGTACTACCAGAATGCTGCATTATTTGTGGAAGAGATTCATCTTGGTTTTCAAGAGATAAGGTATGATTATGTACAATATCTTCTGTACAGTATCTTTTATACATTCTATGCCTATGGACCACCTTTTGGTGGAAACGTCCTAGGAAAAGTCGTCATATAATTTATGCCTTGCGCATATACCTATAATCCTATATGATATTTTGGAGTACGTGTTGGGTGTGTTGGATCTTGATGGATTAATTATCCAGATAATCCAATATAATGTTCATAAATTTTACAAATCTGAGTATAATTATTTTAATATACCTGGTTGCTGTGAATTTGTACCTTACTGAAGTTGGTTAATTTGTAAAATTCACCCTGCTGTAGTTGGTATATGCCATTTTTAAACAGGCATTCTAAACTTGTATGTTTTGTGTAGAAAACTCAAAAGAGAAGAGGAACACCACTAGTATTGGCAAGTACAGTTGATGCTGGCTTATTACGTACAGCTGCTGAGAGGAAAAATGATGACTTGATGAGCGGATACTTGTACAGATTAGAGATAAAGACTGTGTTGCATTGGAGGTCCGCTACCACAAAGTTTGCTATGGCAACTATAGCATATTCCTTGCAAGGGAGGCGAAGACGACCACAACATGTGCACCAATGTATGAAAGATCTTACGATGTATTTTGTAAAGAAGTCGTCGAAACTGAAATTATCAAGGGAAAAGCAATAATGTACATGATGCACTTACTTGAGAAATTTGTTGTTATTGCTAAGGAAACTGAGAATGTGGATGCATCGAAATACAGGTCTTCCAAGCTCAAACAACGGCCAATTAACAGTTATCCCCAGCTGGTATTCTATTTGCCTAAATCTAGAAATGTTAGTGAAATAGTGTATGCTGAGAACTTGGATACTTCTGATTTAATTGAGGAACATAATATGTTGAATAAAGCCGAAAATACTGATGAAGAATTTGATGAAGGTGACTGCATCGGTGAAGGTGAGGTACATGATAACAATTCTTATACAAAAACACCTGCAAATTTTCAACTTAACGAGTTGCAAGTTTTATACAATGCAGCATTAATTATTAAAAAAAAGGTTCAAGAAATCCCCAAGCTTGGTCTACCTTGGCCTCCATTAGCATCAGATCTGACAATGACTAATGTGAAGAAAATCGTTCCATGTGAGCTTTTCAACACACTGGCATGGATTTGTGGATTTTCGTCCGAGCCCACTTTAAACAATTATGTGGAAATAGACCATAAAAAAGTGCCAAACTGATCTCAATTACACAAGACCTAGTAAACTTAGCATCTAATCAAAGGAATCCCACTCCAAAGAGCATAGCACTTGCCATGGCACTTAGGCAACTGACAGGATCAGCCTCAGTTATACCTTTATTAAGTGGCTTGGGACATTGCATGTCTTACTCATTCGTATTAGCTCATGAAACAGCACTAGCACAGTTGAATATATCTACGGACTCTACTGTTCTTCCCGGTTTTATTGGTAATGTACCAACTACACTTGCATGGAATGATGACTTCTCAGAAGAAACTAGATCTGGAAAGGGAACAACTCATATAACTGGAGGAATTATCATTCAGAGGGATGCTGCTGTATCTTATGAGTCGGAGAGAAGAGAGATTATTTCCCGAAGGAATTCAGTAGTAGCACCATCAAAAGATATTTAACCATATTTTCTTGGAAAACGAAAAACTGTTAACTTGAGTGATGCAATGCAGAACAACGAAATTGGAGAAGAACATCATCTTGAACCCCAGAATGATGCTAAGAAGAAATACCTTGCATTCACCTTGTGCAGATATCTCGGTAAAATAATCACTCTTCCCAATTGGACAGGATTCAACACCAAACTTATTTATAAGAGAGACATACCTACTCAGTCTAAAATTGGGTATCTGCCCATAATTTATGCAAGCCCAACAGAACTTTCAACAGTAAAGGAGATACTTAATCAGAGTGAGAAGATAGCCGACAAACTGAACTTGAAATACATGTGCTTGGTTTTTGATGAGGCAATCTATGCCAAAGTTCAGCAAATTAGATGGAAGGAAGAGGGGTATCTCAGCCGATTTATTGTCCGACTTGGGGATTTTCACATGGCAATGCCATATTGTGGAGCAATTTCCAAACTGTTTAAAGATACTGGGTTAAAGGTATTTTTAACATGCATAATTGTCATTGTTAACCCATTAAGCTGCAGAGCTTCCTCATTGACGAGTAAAATCGTCTGGTGTTAGACAAGTCAACAAAGTAGGGCGCACTTGGGCGCATTGCAGCTCAATGGATAGATACATTGTCAGATTTTTTGGTTAACCCATTAAGCTGCAGAGCTTTTCCATTGACAAGTACAATCGTCTGGTGTTAGACATGACAAGTAAAAAAATAAGTAGGGCGAACTTGGGTGCATTGTGGCTCAATGGGTTAAACAGCTTTCTCAACACATAAGTTTCATTGTCGAAATCTGGTTACAAGGAAAGCCTTAACTTTCTTATATGTATATGCAAGTCATTTTAAAAAACTAGCTTTTGCATTTGTTTTACCCGATATGAAACACTTGACCAAGCCGGGGATTTTATACTTGATAAGAGAGATGTTTGTTTTTTAAATTATAGTTAAAAATGACAATGTTGTTGTTATTTCTATAGGACATCCTTATTGAGTCTGAAATTGTAGCGGTTGGATCAATAAATGGAGTAATGTCGGGCAAGCACTACAACAGAAGTGTTAGGTCACACAAGGTTGTCAATAAGGCCTTAGTAAGATTGTTGTTTCAGAGATATCTTGAGTCACTTTCTGCAGACAAAAAGATGAAACTATTACCCTGATTGGTAAGTTCACACAACTACGGTTCTTTTTAAATTACACTTAGTCCAGCAATTAACAATTCCATCAAGGGCGGTCTCGCCCATTGATGCATAAGAGTCTCCTTATAATATGAAAATATGCAACTTAAAGTGAGTGTCCAGTGACTTGGTAGTTTAGAATACTACTGGGCACCTAAAAAGTTAAAACAAAACAATGTTTTATGTGAACCTGGCACTTAAATTCATATAAAGGTTAGAGAGTCGAAACACCAACTTACTGACAAATTGCATTTGCTTGAACCATCCAAGTTTTTTCTCATGTCATTTCTACGCACACGTCACCCAGGTTACAAAATTCAACTCCCGTTGCATGTGTATGTGGAAACAATCTATTGCTTTTAAGAGGTAAACTAAGATGCACATTTTATACATTATAGAAAACCTTGCTGCAAAGTTTCCTTGTGAAGAGTACTTGACAGAAGTGATCTCAGAGGATTTTGAACAATTAAGAATGGCTGTTGCTATGTTTGCCCAATCAGAGGCTGAGAAAAAACCAACATTTGCTCTGTGGCTGAATTACATTGAGATGGTTCAAGTCCTTTTGATATTCTTGCGTGCAACAGGAGAAAACAACTGGGATCAACATCTCTCAGCAGTTAGATCTACGCTTCCTTGATTTTTTGTGACGGACAGAGTTCATTATGCCAGATATGGTTAAGTTTACTGGCTTGAAATGTATTGCCTTGAAACAACACATCCAGGTTAGACATACTCTAAAAGCTCAGTGTTATATTTTGTCAGTATTAGTTCAGAGTCCTATTTTCTATAAAAAACGAGGTAGGGGTCCAGTGAAGTTAAGTTTGTGGGAATATCGAGACAGTGGTACATGAGTTTCTCTCAACCTGAAATAGAGAAATAAAACATCCCGACATTTGGAGCAAAGGCCCTTCATCAAAAGTCTTTGCTTGGAACGTAGACTAGTTTTCTTTTTCTCTTTTAGGTTGAGAGAGACTCATCTACCACTGTCTCGATATTATATTTAAAACTTATCTCAATTGTAATTTCCAAACTTTGTAAATATCTTGCAGGGGCAACCAATGATATCTTAGAAAACTGGACCTGTCAACGCCAGAAAAATCATGGTTTCTCATCCACAGCATGCGACCAGGTAATGGAGCAGACATACAATCGGGATTCGAAAGTCAGAGTTGGTTTAGTTGGATTCACTCTAAACAGGAATGCAGTGCACAGGTGGATCATGGCACAGGCAGACCGTGGTGCTATCACCAGTGTCTCAAGATGACAAATAATCCATCAGAGACCAGGTAAAATATGTGCTGTCGTAACTATGCATTGTGTATGATATAATCTATTATAATATAGCATTTGTGAATTCTGAACACTGATTGGCTAAGAGCTGTGTTGATATACAACAATATCAATACGGAAAATGTTTTTCTTTATACTTCTTTGTGCTATATTATAAAAAAAATATAAAACATTTTTCCGTATTGATATACACTCAGTTATATCAACACTCGTGGGAATTGAGAAAACCCGAAATTGTGTGAAAACACTCAGCCCTCCGAGCGTTGTGTTTCCACAAAATTTCTCGTTTTCCCAATTTCCAGTCGTGTTGATATAATTGAAAATCAATACGGAAAAATGTTTTATATTTGTTAGGTATAAATTTTCTATGTTTATGTGCAACGATGTCTATGCTAGCGACTAAAAGAAGTTATCACAGTTTGCTGTAAGTTGCAAACTATCTGCAATATTTTGCCTGTAAAATTCTACTTCATTTTCAATGTAGAACACGCAAAGAAATGGATGCTACACAAACTAAATACCATGAACAGGAAGTGGCCAGTTTCGTGGAAACTATAACGAACATGAGCAATCCTTTTGAAGTGGAAGACAACATGATCAATATCGCCAGTGGAAAGGTCGCTACTGCAGATGTCTCTAGAGACATGAACTGTGCAAAGGACATTGGAGAACAGAAATGTAAAAATTTTATATCAGAGCAATTACTTAGTGAAAAACCAGATCTGTTTGCCACAATTAAAGCTACCAAACTAAGCACGTTTTCAACAATGGATAAGAAGGCAAAGGTGAAAACTAGTAAGGGACAAATTGTCGAGCTAAAAAACGACTTGAAATTTATCACCAGATTGCTTGCAGTAGGCAAAGCAAGAGATGTTGACATGAAAGAAGTTCCCACCTACAGTCTTAGGAAATTCCCGTCCCCATTATCAACTGTTGATGGACAGCTAGTGAAGACTTCCAAAGCAAAGTTATTGCATATCCTAGAAGGTCGTGTAGAACACTCAGCAATTGATCAGTTGCCACCTAATAATGCCTTAATACTGGATGGCATGGCGCTAATTCAGACGATTAAACGCATCCCTGAAACCTTTGGGGCTTTGGTGAAAGTCATAATGAATCGTATTTTGTCATCAGCAGCAAGTTCAAAGTCAACAAGGGTTGATTTCGTGTGTGACACATATCCTGATGTAAGCATCAAGAACCTGGAAAGGAGTAAGCGTGCGGAAACAGGATCGATGATGATTATGATTCTAGGTCCACAACAGAAGGTGCCCAGACAATTCAAGAAGTTCCTGTCTCTTGGAAAGAATAAAGAAGCGTTGATTGAATTTATTTTCCAGCATATGAAAGCTGTCGAAGGATTGTCAACTGCCGTTGATTGAATTTATTTTCCAGCATATGAAAGCTGTCGAATGATTGTCAACTGCAGTCGGAGATATGGAACTATTTGTAAGTCACGGGAAGCTGTGCCATCAAGTAAGTACAACCAGCCAAGGTGAAATTCTGATCGAAGAATGCGCTGAACTATATTGTGATCACGAAGAAGAGGATACACGACTACTTCTTCCCGCAAAACGCGCCGCTGCAGTTCATTATCATGTTATCATACGCAGTCCTGATACTGATGTTTTTATCATAATGTTAGGTCATAAACCAGCAATACCAGCAACGATGTATTTTGACACTGGAGTTGGAAATCAGAGAAGAATTTTAGATATAAGGCCCCGTTTACACTATACTGGATTCGCTCGTCACGCCAACATCTTCTGCCGTTAAGGAGCAATGGTTAGTAGCAAATGCTTATTAGTTTGACAGAATTGGCATGTTTATTTGGGTCTCTGAGATTAAAAATCTTCACAGCCTTTCAATGCCTACAAAATATGACCCACTCCGATAGCAATCCGGTATAGTGTAAACGGGGCCTAAGTAGAATACACGAAACGCTTGGCGCAATCTCGTTCCCCGAGCCTGCGATCCTTGGGAAGGAAACGAAGGCTCTGGGATAATCCATCTCAGACATACAGAAAACTGTATGTCGACCGAACTGCGCATGCGTTGCCAAAAGCAAAACAAATTGTTTGAAATATTTTATTGTTTCGTCTAAAATGATTATATTTTCGGGGTTTTGGTGGAAATGTTGATGTTCTTCATAGTGGGATACAAAAGGTGTGTTAGCGACTGAATAAGGAAAATATTGCGTGTGAAACAGGGTCAGTATAGAGCCGGCAGGAGCCGCGAAGAGTGCTGTTGTCGAAGAAAAATGTCACAATTAATTGTAATCTTGTCCATTCACCTCTGTGTCAGTTTGAAAAGCTTTAAATGTAGAGACATTTGTGGTTCCTCCAGCATAATTTAGCCGTTTAACGCTATTATGTTTCTAATGGTTGAAAGAGCGCGTGGAAAGGGCAATTTTCAAGAACAAAAACAATTACAATGTACTGTGTATTAATTGCTACTGTAGTATTAAAATACCTGAAGAGAGTCTCAATTCTAATATTAAGTCGGTTATAAACCTTGATAATATTAAAGTTTTCAGAAGATTTGTATATCAGAGGAATATTAAAAGGAATTTAGACTTATAAAACATATCATTAAAAATATGAATATAGTGAATTCCATGTTTGTATAACACAATTTGTGTTATCATCTCTAGAAATTAACAGTTTATAAACCAAATCCTTGTTATATTTTTTAACTGCCCTTATAGCTTTCCTTATATGTTTTAATATTTGCAAGCAGTTTAGTAGGTTAGGGATGCAACAGCACTTTTCAAATTATTGAATTGTAACCAAATTTTGTGTCTGGATAGGAATTTTACTATTAAAGATTTACAGTTTGTAATGATAGAGTTGGAGCAAGTTAAGCTGCAATGTGCCTCAGGTTGCCCTACTTTGTTATTTTAAGCTGTTTAACGCCAGAATTTTTTCTCGTCAAGGGGAAAGTATTGGACTTTGATATTGGTATTTGAATGGGTTAACCAGTCCATCTGCATGTCTACCAGCTATCTTTGGTTAATTATCTCTTTAGATCATTAATTTAAGCCACAATGCCCTTAGTGCACCTTTTTTGTTATTTCACTGTACTTCTGGACAATATTTCTCACCAATGGCCAGAAATGTACTTGACTTCATGTCAACTTGATTACTGCCATTAATTAATTAACTACTGTACTAAATAGGACATTCAAGGTTGGAGATGTAATAGCAATAGAGGTTGCTATCATTGTAGCATTCAGGGGCGTCGCTGGCCCAAATTGTCAGGCATTTGGCAATTTATTGTATCGGCAATCAGAAAATTGTTTTCGTGGCCAGCATGATTTGAATTGGATAGGAATGGAAAAACTGAGTTTTTGTTGCCCCTTCTCAGAGTAGGTATGTGTTGTTTTATAGTGTAAATAACAAGTTTTGATATTGCAATCAAACTGACAGGGTAGTTGTCATGACCGTGGTAATAAAAATATTTCTATGGCTTGGCATTTACATTGGGCAATTTTTTATCATTCATCACAAAATTATACCTGCACCCTAGGTGGTTCCCTGCAGGGGGTCATAACAGGGGGAAGCTGATGAAAATGAATTCTGGTATAATTTAGTGGCTGATCACTATCATTTAATATTTTTGTGAATAGAACATTTTTTTAAAAAAGTATATGAATTTATTAAAAATATTTATATGGTTTCCCAATCTGGAATTCATACTTGGATGAAAGGTTTATGATGTTTTCTTGGACAGAATCCAATTAATACAACCTCGTACAGAGTGCAGGGCTTCTTTGAATTACTGTGTGGACAAGATTAATAAAGGGATTGCCAATTTGGCATATTGTACTACTCAATAAATTTAAATTATTAAATACTTTCTGCTACAGTTAGCTGTAATATTATACTGTATATTATTGTGTTTCATATGACGTCATAAATTTGACGGGGGGGTCAACTCTAAATCGAGACACAGTCATCAGAGTGAATTAATTTTTCACTGTATGTGTTGGCCTTGTGTTTGGTGGCAAATACATGCAATTTCATATCATTTGCTCTCTCCAGTACAGCATAAGCATCAATACATTTTAGGTTGACCCCATGTCAGAACGTGCAAAATGCCTAGTGAAACCCCAGAATTCATTGTATGTATTAGGTGTATGCAGACTGGAATACAAGTTAATAATAACACTGCCTGCGAAATTGTGGTTTATTTAGAGAATAAAGGTTTTTTGAACACTTCTATAAATAAATTATAACAACAAAAGATTCATATGCATGTACCCATATAGGGAAAGGTTACATGCTACAAGTTAAAATGAGTATTACATACTCCTGCACTTGAAAAGTTTACAGCACAGTATATACATTAAATAATAAAATATATAACAGTAAATCCCAAGATTGGATTTATTGAAACTAGTCATTAACTAGTTCTTCGCAATTAAATAACACAAAGACAAATTAATAAAAGTTATTAACCATTTCTGACACAAATAGTATTTGCAAAATATAGCACATATTTGATATTATAGTCAAATAGTACAGTGTACTGACAGTACTGTATACTATGTATAGATTAAAACTACAGAAAACATGTACAACACAAATATGAGTAAAGTTTTCACGCTCCATTTAACTGTTGTGATATTATACGCATTAAGTATACGTTTCTTTGCATTTCCTTTGTAGTATTAGTATATAGCACAGCTCTGAAACACCAAAACAATATTCGTACACTCCTAAACGGCCGCCATGTTGTATATAAAAATATACGGTTAAAATTAATTTTTGCAAAATTGCAACATTCCATTGTATACCAGCAACCAATCATATTCACTTCTGAGATGGATTATCCCAGAGCCTTCGTTTCCTTCCCAAGGATCGCAGGCTCGGGGAACGAGATTGGGTAAAATCAACCTCGTCCCCAGGGTCTTCCTCGTGGTGGCGCGTGAGCTGAGGAAGACCCTGGTAAAATACGATGAAATCTCCAAGATTCTTGGAGATTTATCGCATGCGCAGTAACGACAACGTTATGTTGCTGACTACAATTAGCGCTGGCGCTTACGATTTTCTTGCTTAAAAATATACATGTTTTGTTGACTGTTTATGTATTTATTCTCAAAGTTTTAACAAATTTTACGAAAAATACTTCAGATATAAGCTGTGAACACACATGTACACAAAACTATGCAACATTCATCATCATATTGTATCAATTTGTCGGAGTATGGCGCTCATATTTGTGACATCGTTTTGTTCGCTTTGGCAACCCTCGTATATATCAGATGCTATTCGGCTTCAAATGCGACTGAATAAACACTGATAGTGTTGCCTGGAATATGAAATGATATTGATTGATTGTTCTGTATATCAAGGTATGTACTGTACATTTATACTGAATTTATTCGATTTATTTTCACACGTTGCTTTCACATTTTCCCAGAGTCTCGGAAATCACATTTTCAATTAAACACAGTTTCACACATGTATTATACAAGACTTCATTTCACACATACAGAAAGACTTCATTTCACACATACAGAAAGACTTTTAATCAAATTATGATAACAGTATGATAATTATGATAACAGTAGAAATTGCTTAGAAAGATTTTATTCTTTTTTCCATATACAGTACAACTGTTATTTTGATTTTCTCTTTCCTATATTTTCTTTAATTAAAGCAGGTACTGTTCTGTTACAAAACAACTAATAAACATTTTATTATTTTAACAGGTGAACCAAGCCAACTTGAATTCCATGGAAATATATAATCATGTCATCAATCAGATAGTAAACAATCATTAAGAATTAGATGGCCTCATGATTATATTTCACATTGACCAACATGAAAATTTTTAAATGGGAATGAGTTGATGGCATTATAGTTTTCTAATGTTCATCAAGGTGAAGAAACTCACTATACCTGTCATACCGCAAAGCCTTGGAAGTTCATGAAATATCGTTGCTCTCTCAAAGACGAAATAATTTATGTAAATCCTATTTTAAGAAACTTCTCAACCCGGAAAATAAATTGAATGAACTTATCCCTACTAAACGCGAGGACTTACGTACTTACAATCTACGTAATGATCAGCATATTAACTTAATTAATTGTAAGACTACAAGATTTAGTAAAAGTTTTATTCCTAGTATCGTATCATATAATGATTCATTTTAATTGTAATATAAATTTAGTTTTAATATACCGTATATTACTATATGTATTAGTTTTACCATGTATTTTAAATGTCAACTCTTATGACTGTATTATTTTAAATAGCCTTGTTTGACTTTTGTATTTTGTTTCTTTAATAATACAATCATTTACAATGGTGAAAATTACAGTTTAATATTTGTATTTCTAATGATAATTACTTGCACATATCCATCACACTTCTCTGTTACTATTAAACTTATTACTATCATGCAAGTAAAATCTCTTGGGAAAATAAATGTTGTCACCCAGGATGGTCATAAATATCAGCTAGTAAAACTAATGAATATACCTATAATCATGTACATATGACTATCATATAATATGTTGTAATTTCTTTAAGTGTTTCAAATTAAATACATTTTTATTTTCAGTTGTACATTGTTCAAACTTTATTTGAAACCTACACTATATGTAGTTGCTATGATTCAAATATCCAAAAGTGTGCCTTTTACTTCAGTCCTTATAGACTCCTCCCTAATACAGACACTTTATTGTGCCACTCCAATGTTCATTCAAAGTGATCCAACTGACATCTGAGCTGGTGATAATATATTGGAACTAGGAGTATATCAGATAAGTTGTTCATTCAGTCAAGACCTTGAGGTTGTGCTGATCATCATATCAAACTCCATTACATATTGTGCCTTAAAAACAAATATACAAATTTTAAAAGTTGTTGTAGAACACTGGGCCATTCCATCTAATATAGCCCCTCCCACACACACCCTATTGAGGGGTCTCTTCATAATACCTTAAAAATTTTGGAACCTCATTGGATACATTTTTGGAACACCCATGGATATCTTTCTACCCCTTTAGGATATTGTTCCTGCCCCTTTGGATATCACCAAAACACCTAATTTTTAGGAAATCTCTTAAGCTACCCTCTAGAAAAATTCTCCCCCATAGGATATCCAGACCTCAATAGGGGGGCTATTAAATGGAATGGCCCATTTGACTTGGTGAGTGGTGACTACCACCAAAGCAAAATAAAAGCATGCTGCCCTGCTTTACATAGAAATCAGAATAAATTTTGAAGCATTTCTACTGTTACTTCTAACGATTATCAGAATTGATGAGAAAATATGGAGTCTCTGTATGACTGTATATTAGTGATGTGATCTCACTGTTCATTAATTAAGGCTGAAATAGTTTGAAACTCGTGTGAAAATAAATTCAGTATAAATATACAGTACGTACCTTGATATACAGAACAATCAATCAATATCATTTCATATTCCAAGCAACACTATCAGTGTTTATTCAGTCGCATTTGAAGCCGAATAGCATCTGATATATACGAGGGTTGCCAGAGCGAACAAAACGATGTCACAAATATGAGCGCCATACTCCGACAAATTGATACAATATGATGATGAATGTTGCATAGTTTTGTGTACATGTGTGTTCACAGCTTATATCTGAAGTATTTTTCGTAAAATTTGTTAAAACTTTGAGAATAAATACATAAACAGTCAACAAAACATGTATATTTTTAAGCAAGAAAATCGTAAGCGCCAGCGCTAATTGTAGTCAGCAACATAACGTTGTCGTTACTGCGCATGCGATAAATCTCCAAGAATCTTGGAGATTTCATCGTATTTTACCAGGGTCTTCCTCAGCTCGCGCGCCACCACCAGGAAGACCCTGGGGACGAGGTTGAACTGGCAGAGGCAATTCCAACCTCGTACCCAGGGCTTCTGCGCTTATTGCTCTCAGAAGCCCTGGGATAATCCAACTCAGAACGTGATTTGATTGGTCGATGCGAATACAATGAAAGTACCGGAAGTTATTCATTAACCGGGTGATATTTTGGCAACATGTCTGCTATCTCAAGGAGTGTATACAAAAGTTAAATGCTGGTTTTTGCATGAAAATACTTTTAAATCAAATTGTGGGCTATTTTGAAAAGAGCAAAAGAAGAAATGGACTATTTGTATTTGTAAATAAGCAAGAATGGCGAACAGAGTAAAAAAATTAACATAATAAAGCGAAACATTTCTCGTTCGAAAATTGAAATTTCAAGTATAAATCTACAACTTCAACCACGATATTCAATGTAAATATTACATAATAAAGTTTTTAATACCTTTTTTACCTTTATTTGATAAATTGTGTGTTCTATATTGTTGCATTTTGTATTGGAATAGGATAAATTATGAATTATACACAAATATTTAAATTTACAAATTATTCCCAATTTGAGGATGCTGGGTGCACTGGCTCGGAGTTTGTATTAGTGCCTATTTATTATTGAGTTATTAGTGCCTCTAAATCTCTAATGTACAAACATTGTAATCTGTTACTTAATACCATAAAGAAACTGTTGATAGCACATATATTAAATGACTATTAATCAAAATGAACTAAATTTTCGACCATTATATAGCATATTTCCCCCAATATTGAGGGAATAATTTCTCCTATTTATTTTTAAAATAAGCCAATATTGCCCAACTGTGAAGTAAATATTGCCCGACTGGCCTAGTCTGCCCAACAATTGAGCCCAGCCCTGTGCGCCTATGACCAGGCCTACAGGTGGACCCCCAACCTGATTGGTCACAATTTTTCTTTCTCCAAAATTTCCCCTCCCCATGTACAAGGATTGACAATTTGACAGTTTGATTAGATTTGAAAAAAAAACACAGTTATATTGGGTCATTCCAGAAAACACCCATACCACTCCCACAGAGGAAATTGAAAGTTAATCCCTCCTACCCCGTTGGATGTCCTAATACATTTACTATTATCAGAAACAATTTTTCCCCCCTCCCCCTCTGAACGGCAGAAATTTCCTCTGTGGGGAGAGTGTGGATATTTTCTGGAACGACCTATTTGAGAAATGCTTTTGCACAAATTTTAAATTTTCTTACAATTTTCTTGTATGTCAGAACACTGTTCTAAGTTGCAACTAAAATTCAGAGGTCTAAAAGGCTCAAGTCAATTTCAGTGGTGTAACCAGAGGGGGGGGGGTCAAAATATTTTAAATGTTTTGAACTTGTTTGTAATTAATTAGAGTTGAACATGTGTTAACTGCAAGGTTATTTCAAATCACCAAAACACATTAAAATAGCCCCCCAAATGGCACTTTATTAACTAGAATTTAAAAAGTCTACATTGTACTATATTATACATGGATAGCTTGGGAGTCCAAATATATTTTTACATGCTAACAAACTTTATTCAAACTAGTGCAGGCCCCTCCTGGGGATTTCAGTCCCCCTTGAAGGCCTTAATTAGAAATTCTGGCTACATCACTGCTCAATTCCATTGCCAATGATGGTGTTAGCATGATTAGACAGAGTAGGTTAACAAACTAGTGTGTATTATGAGATAATCCATTGAACACCAATGATCTATCCCAACATACAAAATCATCTGGTGCAGTGGTGGATCCAGCAAAGTTTTTTTGGGGGGTGCTAACCAATGGAGAAACGAGCGCTGAAGGCGCAAGATTTCTAGTGTGGTCTGGGGGCATACTACCACGGAAAATTTTTAAAATTTGGGTCTCTGAAATGGCATTTCCAGCATTCTGAGAAAACATTCTGGAAAATTTTTAGATTCTCAAAACATTTAAAAATTTGGAATATTTAATATTGGCTATTCCACTATTGTCAACTAGTGATACCCAACTGAATTCCTTAACATAAGTTGGTTAGAATTAGGATAAACATCATTTTTGCACCCCCACCCCCCATGCACCCCTGTTGACCAGAGCCTGGGGGGGGGGGTGCACACCAGAGTAAAATAAAAAGTAAGACACAATGTATAACTTAATAGGTAAGGTTAATGGCCAGAACTAAATGATAAACAATATTTTATAATAAACCCAAATTAGTTCAGCACCATTGGTTCTTATAACACTGTTCATTCCAATACTAGAACATCAGCAATTAACAAAAGTTGGAGTTTCATCCGATGACATGTATGCTTCTAACCATGCTGTCCATGCAGCTATCAGACAGTTTTTAATTTTCAACATTGATTCCCAAAGCCATTATTCTCAAGATTTGCCAAAAAGGTTTTCCAAATAAGTACAGAATTATATTACATCACTCATCACTGTTCATTTTACATTCTTCAAGTAGATGCATGTTTACAGTACAGTATATCTTGTGCATTTATAATTAAATTTTGCAATATCTTGTTCAAAACCCTCAAATCCAAGATAATCGGCAGCCAGCCATGTTACCAGTAAGATTTCTAGTCTGTTGATTTTGAAATGACCAAGGTTGTACTCGAATATAAATATTTATACTTTAATTATTGAATAGCCCCTGTATATCGCTGACAAGGTATGCTGTTCAGCTGTTGTCGCGATATAAGATGTTCTTTTGCTCGCCAAAGGGCTTATTTTACGCATAATTGTATCTCTAAATTGATTATTCCTGACTTTAAATTCCAAAAGCCACGCGATAAGCAGTTTAAGACGTCTTTACAAGTCCAAATATATCATAAATTGCAACAAATAATCCACTCTCACTCCTTGCGTAAAAATATGCCCAGTCAGCGTTTTTAGCTGGAGCTACTGTTTACTTCCGCTTCCGGGGGCACCACTGTTCTATGGTGTTCCGGTTTGGATTCATATGTTTGGATTATCCCAGGGCTTCTGAGATAAATAAGCGCAGAAGCCCTGGGTACGAGGTTGAGGCAATTCTTTCTTCCGTCTTCCCGTTGCCCCCCGCGCGCGTTTCTCTCCCCAATTGAAACTTCATGTAAGATTCATATGTAAGCCTATTCCATTCATGTAAGCCTATATTAGCCTATTCCAATTGCCTCTGTGGAGGAGAGAGTACATGCACGTATAAGGTTTCAATACAGAAACAATCATGCAGCCAGTCATGCAAGATATTCTTAAAATCACGAGATAAAACCTATAACTTATTGCAGCAATAGAAGAGTTCATCTTAATACTATGACTTAATTAAATAGTGAAGGACAAAATTCAGGTGGAATTGGTATAGTTATCAAGGAACAAAGCTGTGCGTTCGAAGGTACTAAGGTAGGCGATATTGGACATATTGTCCTTCCTGTTGCGAGCATTTCGTTAGGAACATATTGTATTGCTGAGGTTCTCGCATTAATTTCACAGCACAATTAGTTAAAATGACATGTTTATATTTAGGAATTAAAGTTCGATCCTGTGTGCATTTGAATATGATTTAATATCGTTTCGGCGTTGGTAAGTGTAAATGTGCTTACACAACAATTTTCTGAAAAATGTGCTTACACAACAATTCCTATACCTGATAAGATTCCAGCAGATATTTCTCGTTATTCCTGTAGCCTTTGATTCAGTTGTACTGAAAGTATGTAGATATTTATTTCTGAATTACATGTATATCTCATTCATTGTAGTTGTATCAAGTCAGGGCGAATGAAACCAGAATTGAATGAGATATACATGAAATTCAGAAATAAATAACTACTGAATCAGTTTGATGATTTGATAATTTCATCTCTTATTATAATACAATGTGGCTAGAAACTTGATGAAACCATCAAACGTCCAAAGTTTAATTTATCAAATATTCTATCATTGTATTATCCTAACTAGAAATACACGCATGCAATAACCCCTCGCCTGTTTTCAAAAGATATATACTCAGTGCCGTTGCTAGCACTTCGTCTCAGGGTGTGTGTGAGGTTGGATAGAGGGGGGTGGTTACCAAAATGTTCCCAGATGTACAAAAAATTTTCAGGACATATAATAATTTTTCCGAAAATACAGTTGTTTTCCAAATTCACTTTCTCATGTCCTGAGAATTACCTGAATTCCCCTGAAAATCTTCTGCAAATCTACTTAAATTTACCTAAAAGTGCACTGGAAATCTACCTGAAATTCCTCATGAGCAATTATCAGGGGTGTTGCACCCCCCACAGTGAGTTTCACGCATTCACGCAAACACTCTCTGATTTATTGTTCGTGTATTTCATCTCCCAAAATTTTGTGCATCATACTATAGAGCATTTTGCTGTTGTCATGGTCTAGCGTGGTTCAAATTTATGAATTTTTATTATATAAAGTATAGTGTTTTATGTACTATTTAAAACACGAGTGGGAGTGTTTTATCAGATATATAACGCGAGGCGCAGCCGAGCGTTATATATCTGATAAAACACGACAACGAGTGTTTTGAATAGCTTAAAATACGACTACAAAAGAATACTAATTAGGATGAACCATAGTATAATCATGCTAATTAAGATGAACAATTATATAATGCCACATGTGTTTTATCAGATATAAAGTCACTCCACGTGACTCCATGGCTGACATGATTTGCCGCAAGGTTTATGAATTATTAATGAGTATTTTAAAGAGATTTCGAGCACTCATAAAAATGATAATCTCACATGTGAAATTATTCATGATAATCTTACATGTGAAAATTATCGCCATTTTCAATTATCGCTTTTCTGTAAAAATTATCGCTTTTCAAAGACTGTCCTTTATATAATAAACAGGAAAATACATGGGTGGTTGGAAATACCAGATTTATTTTTCGTGTTGAACATGACATCTCACTCGTTCGATGCGCTCACTTGTTCGCTGCGCACTCATGTTCAACACTCGAAATAAATCTGGTATTTTGTGCACCCATGTATTATTCTCTATTTAAACTACAACTTGACTGGTTTAAATTATAATCAAGTTATCAGTGATAGTAAAAGTTGCAGATACAAGTGTTTTGTTTTATATTATTATCAAGTTATCAGTGATCGCAAAACCTCCAAATCCTTAATTTCAAATGTTAGAATGTTAGAGTTTGTAATCCAAGTGAGAATTATATACATTATAAGACCTAACCAGCAACGACTGCAAAAAATGCAGCACAAGGTAGGAATTGAACCTACGGCCCGGTGATTCTGGTGCAGCGCTCTAACCAACTGAGCTACAGAGGTCAGCTGTTGAGCTTGAACCGTAAGTTCATTTATATTTAGGTTATCGGGTGTGCGGGTTGTGATAAGGTGGACTTCAATAATTTGGATTCTTGCACTTCACTTGGTGGAATTAATATTAGAATGTTAGGGTTTGTAATCCAAGTGAGAATATATACATTTTAAGACCTAACCAGGAACGACTGCGAAAAATGCAGCACAAGGTCCTCTGGTAGGAATTGAACCTACGGCCCTGCGATTCCGGTGCAGCGCTCTAACCAACTGCGCTACAGAGGCCAGCTGTTGAGCTTTAACCGTAAGTTCATGTATATTTAGGTAATCGGGTGTGCGGGTTGTGATAAGGTGGGCTTTCATAATTTGGATTCTTGCACTTCACTTGGTGGAATTAATATTAGAATGTTAGGGTTTGTAATCCAAGTGAGAATATATACATTTTTAGACCTAACAAGGAACGCGAAAAATGCAGCACAAGGTCCTCTGGTAGGAATTGAACCTACGGCCCTGCAATTCCGGTGCAGCGCTCTAACCAACTGAGCTACAGATGCCAGCTGTTGAGCTTTAACCGTAAGTTCATGTATATTTAGGTAATCGGGTGTGCGGGTTGTGATAAGGTGGACTTCAATAATTTGGATTCTTGCACTTTACTTGGTGGAATTAAAATTGGAATGTTAGGGTTTGTAATCCAAGTGAGAATATATACATTTTAAGACCTAACCAGGAACGACTGCGAAAAATGCAGCACAAGGTCCTCTGGTAGGAATTGAACCTACAGCCCTGCGATTCCGGTGCAGCGCTCTAACCAACTGAGCTACAGAGGCCAGCTGTTGAGCTTTAACTGTAAGTGCATGTATATTTAGGTAATCGGGTGTGCGGGTTGTGATAAGGTGGACTTCAATAATTTGGATTCTTGCACTTCACTTGGTGGAATTAATATTAGAATGTTAGGGTTTGTAATCCAAGTGAGAATATATACATTTTTAGACCTAACAAGGAACGACTGCGAAAAATGCAGCACAAGGTCCTCTCGTAGGAATTGAACCTACGGCCCTGCAATTCCAGTGCAGCGCTCTAACCAACTGAGCTACAGATGCCAGCTGTTGAGCTTTAACCGTAAGTTCATGTATATTTAGGTAATCGGGTGTGCGGGTTGTGATAAGGTGGACTTCAATAATTTGGATTCTTGCACTTCACTTGGTGGAATTAATAGTAGAATGTTAGGGTTTGTAATCCAAGTGAGAATATATACATTTTAAGACCTAACCAGGAACGACTGCGAAAAATGCAGCACAAGGTCCTCTGGTAGGAATTGAACCTACAGCCCTGCGATTCCGGTGCAGCGCTCTAACCAACTGAGCTACAGAGACCAGCTGTTGAGCTTTAACTGTAAGTTCATGTATATTTAGGTAATCGGGTGTGCGGGTTGTGATAAGGTGGACTTCGATAATTTGGATTCTTGCACTTCACTTGTTGGAATTAATATTAGAATGTTAGGGTTTGTAATCCAAGTGAGAATATATACATTTTAAGACATAACCAGGAACGACTGCGAAAAATGCAGCACAAGGTCCTCTGGTAGGAATTGAACCTACGGCCCTGCA